AGTGTCTCTCTGGAGACTAAGGTGCGTCTAATACAGGTCATGGTATTTGCAATCGCTTGTTATGCATCAGAGAGTTGGACAATGACTAGGGAGGACAGAAGGAGAGTGGATGCTTTTGAGCTGTGGTGCTGGAGAAGGGTACTGAATGTACCATGGACTGCCAGGAAAACAAACAGATTCATCTTGGAGAGGATTAAACCAAGCTACTCCTTGGAGGCAAAGATTCTGGGGCTTTGTCTGACATACTTTGGACATGTTGCCAGGAGGGATGGGTCCTTGGAGAGGGACATCATGCTTGGGAGGGTGGAGGGACAGCGCAGGAGGGGAAGACCCTCTATGAGATGGATTGATTGGGGTAATAGGGATGGGTGCGTCAGAGGCGGTGTGGTTGGCGCAGGATAGAGCAGGGTTTAGAGCTGTTGTGCATAGGGTCGCTATGAGTCGGAAACGACTCGATGGCACATAACAACAACAACGACTAGCAATGAGCAACAAACACATAGTGGTTAGCTGATTGTTGGAGTGAATGATAAGTGAGGAGGGGAACAGTTGAAACACATGGCAACTGTTGGGTCAAAATATAATGTTCTGTGGGCAGAAAATTCTAGATGCAAAATATAGCTCTACTACTTACTACTTACATAACATTGAGCAAATTATCTCTTCTCAGCCTTAGTTTCCTCATACATAAAACTGATATAATACGATATAACTTTCAATTTTTTAGAATTAGGGAAAAGCACAATACCTACTATGTGGTAAACATTTAATAAGTAGTGACTAATATTATTGTTAAGAATTAATGCCTTTGCTCAACCAATTTTGCCATACACAGTCCCCACAAAACATTCATTACTAAAGTATTGATAGGCCTTTTCTTGAAGTATCAGCATAGAGAGCTCTGCAACTTTTCTTCTTAGCTACTTCTGGCCAAGTTAAACTTGCACTTCTTCTACTCCATAGTGCAAAGTCTTCCTTTGAAGATCTACTGGACTCTGCTTCCATTAAACAATTCATGTTCAGCTGTTACAGGTCATACCTACCATATACAAATGTTACTCAGGACCTTCTAAGCAGGAAATACACCAGTTCATAAGCAAAGGATGCCTTTGCTAGCTCAATGAACTCATTCACTGTTGAAAAATAACTCATGTCTAAAGAACTGTGGCTCAAAACAGAAAATTATGTAAAGAGGCAAGAACTGTAGTATATAATGCATAGAGAGCAAATTAAACGATGGCTTCGATGAAACACATTTTAGTCTTTAATTTCATATCCTTGTTCTTTAGAACTTTGGAATGGTCCTTTGGAAGAGATTTCCGATTTACTGGCTGTGGTTACTGCGACTGTTGATGACGGATACAAGTAGAATGAAATAATTGAAAATTTCAGTCTTTTCTCCATCTATCATGATGTTGCCCATTGGTCCAGTGGTGAGGATCTTTTAAAGTGATGGCTCCTGAGAACAGGCCCAGGGTAGGTGAGAAAAAGTGTCACCATCTTTGTCCCTAATGGCCACTTTGGTGGTACTTCCTTTATCATAATGTTTGTTCTTTTAGCAGTCCATGGGATATTCAGGACTCATCTCAAAGACATCATTTCTTCTTCCTTTATCCTTATTCATTGTCCAACTTCAGATACATAGGAAGTAAAATGAAAAGACCATGACTTTGATCACGCACATTTTGGTTAAACTGTTATCTTTGATATTTAGAATATTTAAGAGGTCCCTGACAGATTTCCCCAGTGAAACACACTATTTTATTTCCTGTTTGCTGTTACCAAGGTTGATGGTTGTGGATCAGAGTAAATGATTGAGAACTTCAATCTTTATCTATCATAATGTTGTCTATTGGTCTAGTGGTGAGGATTTTTGTCTTTGATCTGCAGCAAATGTTTCAAATCCTCCTCACTTTCAGCTACCAAGGTTGTGTAATCTGCAGAATGCAGATTTGTTGATTATTCTTTATCAAATCCTGATGCCACATTTTTCTTCATATAGTCCAACTCCTTGAATGATTTTCTCAGTATACAGATAGAATGAGTATGGTGAAAGATTACAATCCATATACACACTTTAAAAAAAAAATTTTAAATCAAGTAGTGCTTACTGGTTCTGTTTGGGCAATAGCTTCTTGATCTAGGTAGAGGTTTAACATGAACACAATTAAGTGTTCTGGGATTTCCATTCTTCTTAAAGTTAGCAATAAGTTGCTGTGATTCACACAGTCAAAAGCCACTTAAAAAGTCAATTGAAAAAAAAAAAGAAAGGAATATCCTTCTAATATTGTTTTCTTTCCGCCGAGATCCATCTGACATCAACAATGATATTCCTTAGTGTAGTTTTTTCTGAATCCAGCTTGAATTTCTGGCAGTTCTCTATGTACTGTTCTAGCCATTTGTCAACAATTTTAGAAATATTTTATTTGCATCTGATATTAAGAAAGATGTGTGGAGCAGTTGGATTTGACAAAGTGCCTTTTCATGTTTTGGTTGAGGCCTGAGTGTGGACTGTTGGCCTATTTTTTTGTTTCATTCACAACTGAGTGTGAACTGATTGGATTTGACCTTGTGTTTAAAAAGACCATTGGTTCCCAGTTTGGAAGGAGGAGTGACACTCACTTCCGAAACAACATACCTCTGGAAACTCCATGAACTTTGATAAATGACAATAATTATAGAGAGGCACTTCAGGCCTTTTTTTCATAGGGTTGCTATGAGTCATGCGTAACTTGATGACAATCAACAACAACAACATCATCTGATATTAATGATGTTCTTGTTGTTGAGTACCATCAAGTCACAATCAGCCCACAGCTGAACCTCCCATGGGTTTTCAGAGGCAGTGAATCACATCGATGGTATCCTTCTCTCAGGGAGCAGCTGGTAGATTCAAACCATGTGTATTCAGGGTTGCAGCACAGATTCTTACCACTAGGTTATGAGAGCTCCTGATGTTAACTATTTTATTCAATGATTTCCACATTCTGTTATATCAGATTTTGTGGAAATGGAAACAAATACGGATCTGTTGTAGTCAACTAGCCATCTATCTGTCTTCCAAATTTCGTGGCATAGACAAATAAGCATGTTCAGTGCTGCATCTATTTGTTGAAACATGGTAATTGGTATTTCATCAACTCCTGGGACCTTATATTTTGTCAATTATTTCAATACTTCTTAAACTTCTTTGTTCATTATCACTGGCTTTTACTTATATGTTACTTCCTGAAGTGTTTCAGTGTCAACCAATCCTTTTTTGAATATAGTGACTGTATATTCATTCTGTCTTCTTTTGATGCTTCCTGCATCACTCAAGATTTTGCCCTGGACATTCTTCAGTATTGTAACTCAAGATTTGAATTGCCACTAGAATCCCTTAAAAGTGCATTGTTGTTGTAATGTATCATGGAATTGGAACTGACTTAAAGCTGACCCTCTAATATGTTTTCAGAGGCAGTAAATTGCACAGGAGGAGGCTGCCATCCTTCTCCCACAAAGCAGCTGATAACTTTGAACAGCAAGCCTTTGGGTAGGCAGTGCAACTTCTTACCACTAAGGCACCAAAGCTGCCTAGAAATGTATTAGTAACTGTCATTTCCCATTTTATTCACATTTTACTATTTTCATTTGAGTGAAAACTTATGAACCAAATTAGTGTTTTATTCAACCATTCATACACATTATGATTCATAATATTGATTATAATCCACACATTTTAATAGCAGTCTTCTCATTTCTTCCTGGTGCTTCCTGTTTCCATTTACTCACCATTTCTTATCTCTTCCTGACTTTTGACCATTTGATGTCGTACAGTGATCCTTTTAAGGAATGCACTCTTCCCTGGTGTTCCTGGCCACGTCAGGGAGCTGTCAACTATTGGGCTGAAAGTTGTGTCATAGGAATGGCTTTTGTTTCAGCTTAGGGATGACTAAGGATCATAGGGTTAGAAGTTTCATTAGTCTAACAGACCAGTATATCAGGTCTTTTCTGTGATTTTGAGGTTTGTTTCACATTTTTCTCCCATTATGATCTCTTTCAGAGTGGATCCCATTAGTGTTATCTGGGAACTATCCAGTTCTTCTGATCTTAAGGTCAGGAAGATTAAAGTCTCCATGTTCCATTAGTCCTCTGCACTAAGATTCCTTAAGATTTTTTACTTTTCTTTGTTCCATATAAGGCAAGACCAATAGCTATTCCACACATGGTTACTTCCCAAGGTTTTAAGACCCCTGTTGTTCCTCACTGAAGTACACGTAGTACACTGTCTTGGGAGACAATGTTATGTTAATTGTTCTTCAGTGTCACTGTATCTATGGCCTGAGCTCTCGGCTCCAACAACTCATTCCTTTTAGATATTTGGTAATGGTTAAGAATTGTTTGTATTGTTTTCTTCCTTTTACCCTCTCTTCTTATTCCCAGTCTCTCAAATATTTATTAGATAAAGGGAGGAGGACTGGAAAAAAATTGATGAAAGTGGAGCCATTATTTTACTTTCTTATTAATTTACTTTAAATCCATATGAGAAACAAACAATACCCCATTATAAAATGATAACCTCAAGTTATCAGAACTTAAATTAGGCTTTAAAAAATAGACTCAATTCTCTGCCTCATATCTAAAATTTATTTCTTTAGGTTACACAATACTCCAAAGAATTAATACAATTATCAGATTAAGCACTCCCTGATGATTAGACCACATTCCAGAAGAATTAAGGCATTTATCAGATTAAGCAGTGCCCATGAATTGAACTAATTTCAAGGTTAAACTGTATTTTCATGAAATAAAAAGGTCTCAGTTTTACTTCCTCGTAGAATAGAATCAACTCCTCTTATATGACATGACTAAACAAATCAATTTGACTTATCTGGGAATATATGCATTTTCAAGATATGCAATAGCAGAGAGATCTAGAAGGCGATGATCTCAGGACACCCCACTATATCTTCCATCTTAGACCCAAAGTCATGACCAGGACTCAATAGGTGCTGACCTACCTCCCAAGGTAGCAGAGATGAGGAGGTGGGTGCCGTACTTTTTGATGATGGTATCAATGAACTGTTGAGTGGTGGGTCTTCTGCCAAGTAGGCGGATGCTCCTTTGAAACTCTGGCATGAGGGGCACTGGATGACGGACCAGATCTCTCCTCTCAATGGCTGTGTTCCTCACCTTCCAACGGGCAAACTCCCTAGATAGGAGAGATAAACAAGGCTGTCACCACCTCTGGCTCAAAAACACAGTGCACTAAATCACCCCATTCACATATCTCTCCGACAAGAAGAATTATTTTTATTATTTGTCAAGTGATACTTTCATCTAGAGCTCTCAATTCTCTTCAGTCAAAAAGATTTAGTCAGTAATGTGACTTTACGCTTTGAAAGGTGGAAGGTCAGAGAAAGAGGGAAAAAGCCTCACCAAGAGAGATTAAATCAGTGACAAAGAATACTGTTTGTGTATATCAGTGATCTTGAAGATGGTGCAGGATAGGTTCAGATCTGTAAGTTGTAGTCAACTCAATGGCACCTAACAACGACAGTGTTCTTCATCAATAGAAATATGGTGGTGAACCAGGCATAAGCCAGCGTGCCATTTACTAGTTTATATGTTAAGTTGAAAAGGAGAAAAAGAAAAAAAAAAACTTCCAATATGATAATTAAATAGTGATGATGAAGATATGATGAAACTCATTGTATTTTGAGCTCTGGTAGCCTAGTGGTCAGAAACTGTGCTGCAATCCTGAAGGCATACAATTGGAATTAACCAGCTGCTCTACGGGGAAAGGATGGGCAATCTCCTCCCATGTGATTAAACTGCCTTTGAAAACCTGCTTGAGGGTTAGCTAAGGGTCATTCCAACTTGATGGTAACATCACAGCAACAATAACAATATTTTAGAGGTCACTTGGCTTAATGGGTTCTATGTTGGGCTACTAACTGAAAGGCTGGCAATTATAAACCAACGAGAGAATTCCCACTATGATTTATAATCTTGGAAATCTGATGATGAGTGGTGCCATGAGGCGGGATAAATTCAACCACAGTGGGTTGGGTTGGGCTTAGAATGTAAGAATTCCTCCCTTGTAGATCACCATAGTACTATGACAGGGGGTTATTACTGTTTTCTCATACTCATCACAAGACCTATGTCTCCATTATCATTGCCAGCTAGCTGCTTTTTCTTTCACTGGTAAATGGTAAAAGGGATGGATCTCTAGTGGTTTTGTGGATAGGGAGTAGTGCTTCCAGCTCAAAGGCCCTCGATCTGAATGCACTAGTTGTGCCACAAGAGAAAGACGGATGATCTACTGTGCAATTACTGCCTCTGAAAATCTGCTCAGTGCTCACGACCTGGTCAGTCAGGAGTCAGTCCTGATCTCATGGGACAGAACAATATTAACAACAATACCAGAGAGATGTTTGTGGTTTTTTGTTTTGGTTTTTTTTTTTTTCACTTTGTAAAACATTTTGATATCTGTTATAAGATAGAATTCAGAAGAATGATAAATACTTTGATAAATACATACATAAATGAATGGAAGAACTAAATGAGGGAGCCAGTAGGGAAGATCTAAGGCACAATACAGCTTAGAGACCTGACCCAAGATAATTTTGAATCAGAAAAATTATTCAGAGTTCAGTTCAATTCAAAATGTTAACATAAATTCATTTGGTACCTACTACTGGGAGGAAATTAAATTATGCTCAAAAGATCATGCGACAGAGTTTTAATTTTTTTTCTTCGTCTTCAATGATACAGTAGATCAAAACTGAGGAACTTTGAACTAGGAATCCAATCACAAATTTCACTGTGCATCTTACCAACTACGCAAGGTCATCTTGAGCAAAGTACATCGCCCCCTCAATCAATTTTTATACACACACACACAACCATACACATACACATACTGGACATAATATTATCTCTCTTCTACGGTTGTGGCAAGTATTTATATAAATCATCTAAAAAAAAAAACAAACAAACCCAAAAAAACCACTCACAACCAACCTCCCCTAAAAAGCAATTGTGTGTTGTGTATTGTTGATTGCTGCGTGATGCATAGTGACCCTAGGAACAAAAGACCTGAGACATTTCTATAACTAGTATTGTTTCTCTAAATTCATAGAGTTTCCAGAGACATACTGTTTATAAAGTTGATGCCACTCCTGCTTCCAAACCTGTCTTAATCTGGGAACTCCACCAAACACTCTTCATCATCAGTAACCATTATGGCATTTGACAACCCAAAGGCACAAAGTTCAGCATCACAGCCACCCCAGGTTACCTCAGTACAGCAAATTAACAGAAGAGTGCTGTACCACTTAGAAGAATGTTTCTCTAAAATATAATAACACTAGGCCTAAGGACCACAGGCCCTCAGGCCCAAAGACTGTTAAAAACAAAGGCCCTCCACAAGAGCCTTAAATAAAAACAAACAAAACAAAAACAAAACCCAAAACAACCAAACATTCCACAGGACCCTCAACCAAAACAAGAGAGTCCATCTTTCAGAGTCATCTGTGGAAACAAGGACCTGGCCTTAAATACAAAGGCCCTCCAAAAGGTGGTGTTGACTCTAAAACAAGAGGATTAAATAAAACAAACAAACAAAAAAAATCACAACACAGCAACCAAAGATTCCACAGGACCATCAACCAAAACAGGAAAGCACCAATTGGGGGGGGGGGGGAGGGAAGGCAAACTGATTGCTGTCTAAACCAATTCACAGCTAATCTTGGGGGGGAGGGAGGAGGGGTGTGTTTCAGAAGCTATAAATTGCACAGAGGAGACTGTCCATCTTTCTTTCATGAAGTGACTGATGGATTTGAACCAACAAAAAGGCACAGCCTGTGGGTTGGCAGGGCAGTGCAAGTCTTTACGGACTTCACCACTATATGAATCAGAGGATCCAAAAATACACTTGAAAGAACAAGGTACTAATTCTTTGGGACAGACTGTTTTACAACTTATTTCTTGCAAGTTTCTAGACATGCAAATCATTAAAGACCCAGAGGAAGAGAAGGAGAATTCAAATTGAGTACAAGTAGAAATATAAAGGGTCTTGCTTGTTTGTTGGTTTTTTTTTAATTTCTACTCTAATATAAAGACAATCACTCTGCTCAAAGATGCAGTTTAGCCTAGAACCAGCTCTCTGGTCTGCCTGCGATCCATGGTCTAGCTCTTCGTGGGGGGAAAAAACCCCCAAAACAAACCACCCCAACAAAAAAAAATCAGGCAAGCCATGTGGGTTGTAAAGTCAGTTTAGATAAATGATGAAAACCAGAGTTTAATTAAAAGGTCTCTAGCTCCTGCCACAGGATTGAAGAGATGAATAAAGGAAAGGGCATGGGGCAAAAAGAAACAGAATAGGGTGAGAAGGAGGCTACAATATGCCCCGGTAATTCAGTGAAAGAGCCTGACCCCTTACGTGGAGGAAACTAGATCTGGAAAGATTTATATGAAAATATATATCCAAGTCTCAGAGTTTGGATCTATGTTTGCTTAAGGAGTTTCTGCCCAGAATTTATAATATACCTCAGATTCTAAGTAAAATCAAGCCCGAGCATGGACATTGCATGTAATTATTAAGTCAATCAAATGTACTCAGAGAACACTTACAAGAGCACACACTGAGCACAGGGTATGATACATATAGGAGATAGATACATACATCACCTACCTTGTTCCTAAAAAGCTTAATCTGGCAAGAGAAACAAAGCTTTTAGAACGTAGGATACAGGATGAGAAGGGGGAAACGTAGACTGGCTCTCAAAAAAAGTCATGCCTGAACTGTAGTGTTGAAGTTTGAATACAATTAAAATAGATATTTATGGGGTAAAATATTTGTGTGGGGAGAGAGAGACAGAGAGAAAGAGAAAGAAATACCTGAAGGGCCACACGGCGACTTCATAATAGAGGTAGGGATAAAAACTGGTACCTTATATTATTCCTTTAATATATATATTGACAAGTATAATATAAAAAAATAACAAAACCTATACCAATGCAGAAGAGTAGTATCATCCCTCACCACGAAATCAAGGTCATGACTAAATTTCATTTTTGTTAATTGCCTCCAGTCTCCCTGAAGTTCACCAGCTATAAACACGGGGTCTACCATCTGTGATGCAGCCTTCAAAAGGGAAGGAAGTCAATGCCAAGCACCAGATTCCGCCTGCACATGGCAGTTTTAGGGCCCAAGTAAGGGAAATGCATGTGGCCTGCCAAGCACAGCTCCAGGCACTTGGATAGAGTCCAACAGGGGAGAACATTTATTCTAAAGAATCCACTAAGTAACAGGCAGTGAGCACCCAACATCATGGCCACAGTCCCTGATCCTAACAAGTTGTTGCATTTCATTGGAAGAAACCATGGTTTGTTGTTATTGTTGTTGTTATGTGCTGTCGAATCATTTGCGACTCATAGCGACCCTATGTATAACAGCCCTAAACCCTTCTCTATCCTGTGCCAATCGCACTGCCTCTGACAGACCCATTCCGATTACTCCAGTTACTGAATCAATCCACCTCACAGAGGGCCTTCCCCTCCTGCTCTGTCCCTCTACCCTCCCAAGCATGATGTCCCTCTCCAAGGACCTGTCCCTCCTTACAACATGACTAAAGTATGTCAGACGAAGCCTCAGAATCCTTGCCTCCAAGGAGCAGCCCAATTAACCCTCTCCAGGATGAATCTGTTTGTTTTCTTGACAGTTCATGGTACATTTAATACTCTTCTCCCTCACCACAGCTCAAAGGCATCAATTCTCCTTCTATCCTCCCTAGTCATTGTCCAACTCTCTGATTCACAACAAGTAATTGCAAAGACCATGGCCTGTATCAGACGCACCTTAGTCTCCAGAGAGACACCGTTGCTCTTGAGTACTTTAGAGAGGTCCTCAACAGACAGTAATTTAGAGACACTAATTAAGATGGGTGTGCTGAATGCCAAGGTGCAGGTTGTCACAGCTGAATGAGAGGAAGGTACCTGGTCTTATCCGGAGGAGGGGTCAGGCTGCTAGTAGTTGAAATAATGTTTTGGTTTAAGATGAGTCTTGAAAGAAATGTAAGGTTTGTCCAGACAAAAATGGAGAAGTATTTCAACAAGAATAAATTCCATGTGCAAAACGTAAGGGATGAAAGAGGACAAGAAAGTCGGAGACAAAGCGATACATATGTTCAATGAGTCTATACG